CTGTTGAAGTCATGGTCTCCAGAATATGACTCATTTAGTCAAAATCCCCTTCAAGGTGTTACAAAGATTGAGAACAGGGTACTCCAGCAGAATACAGTGAAACTATTATCTCCTTTGATACCAGCTCACTGCCAACAAATGCTGTTTGTGCTTTTATCTCTTTCCTATTTAATCACATAATATTGTTTGGACTATATGGCATTGAGGTCCTATTCACTTTCATGTGAATTTATTCGAAGGATGCTCTCCTCATTGTTTGAAACTAAATATAAGATTTGAATTTTCTTGCTAACCTTTTCAGTTTATATTTCATATTAATAAGAGCAGTGTTTATTCTTGATACTCTCATTTCACTCTCAAGACGTCCCTGCCCTCCCACACATTAACCACAATGTTAGTGTCACACGTATCCTGGAAAGGACTCAAATTGAAGGAAGTGATCATGCTGATAATACAGAACCAGAGTTTTGAAAATTTGCCTGTCATTTGAGAGAAAATAGTCCCTATGTCCAGCATGAATGTGAGCACAGTTCTATGTATAGCAGCCCCAAGGTAATGACACAGACACGAATCGTCTGACACAAATCAACACAAGAGGCAACTTCTGATAGATTCAAAAAGCTAAAGCTTTTTACAGATGATAGCCAAGTAAAGAGTTTTTTCAAATCTAAACTGTTTTTCCATTAAATCTGCATTACCGTTTTAATACTCACTTTTGTTCCAGATAGCCCCGTAAGAATTCCCAATTAAAGTCAATAACGTTCACCAACTCCTGTTCTCATTGCCTTTATCCAGTCTATTACTAAATCCTGTCATGTCATTCTGCAAAGAGTCAGTAAGATGCTTCTTTCTCTTTATATTCTTGGCTCAATTTATTTAATAAACAGTAATCAACATCTTACCATGTATTTGTTGTAGGGGTACAACAAATTTATTTATATCTCCATCTCATTCTAGAAGGTAATATAAGTGAATTATAAGGTTACAAAAAGAAAGAAATGGAAGGAAGGAAAGGAAAGAAGGAAAGGAAAGGAAAAGGAAAGGAAAAGGAAAGGAAAAGGAAAGGAAAGGAAAGGAAAGGAAAGAAAAGGAAAGGAAAGGAAAGGAAAGGAAAGGAAAGGAAAGGAAAGGAAAGGAAATCCAAATAGGAGCAACTAGCAAATGGGAGAAAAATAAGACAAAGGCCTAAAATGGAATTAAGAATGAGGCTTAAAATCCATCCCATGAAGACCTACAAATTTCCTTCAGCTGAAGCAAAGTTAACTTTAACTTTTTGGACAGTCAAGACAAAATGGAAAAACCTGATTAATTTCAAAATCAAAAGTGTTTCTAACATAAAAACATAATTGCTAAGAAGTACCATTCTCCTTAGTCCTAAAAGCAAAAAAGTGTTTTCCTCCTAAGGGTTTGTATAAGAACAGTATCTTCACTCTTAAAAAAAAAAAAAAAAAAAAATACCCTGAGTTTCTAACTACTTTCCTATTTATTTCTCCTTGCTCGCAGACACTCTTGAAAATGATAGTCTACCCTTGCTGACTTCATTTACTCACTTCATATTCATTTTTCAACTCACAGCACTGAAAGTCCCATCCTTATATCTTCTCTGAAACTGCCTGGTAAATGAAGTTAAGTGCTCCATAACTTCACACTAATATTTGTGGCAAAATACTCTCATCTACTTCATGTATATCCACTTTCTCTCTTTTTCAAGCTATCTTGCATATTATAGCCAGAACAGTTTGCATTAAGAACTGACCTAATGTGGTTGCTTTTCTGCTCAAGGACCTACTGAATAGCAACCACATCAAACCTGAACACTTTCTTCCACTTTCTAAGGTTTCCATATTCAACTCCCTGCCATAATCTAACATATACTCTCAAGTTAAATCATGAGGAGTGGCATGTTTGACTCCTAATCCATATATGTCCCCTATCTTTCAAGCCTCAGTATCCCCAATCACATGTTCAGCCCTGTCTCTAGGCTCTGAACAACACTGCACTTGAAACAGGAAAATACGAACATTCTTCTGTTGATAATTTCTCTGGCAGTATGTTGCTCTGGTCTCACTGCTTGCTTATATTCCAGCCTTATAACTGAATAACTTTCATTTTTTTTCTTATTACTAGTATCTCATACTGACTTAATTTACTGAGTACTCAGGCACTGATACTAAGCCTTCACAGACTGAGCTCCACTTATATCCTGCCCTCCTGACTGTTTATTGACTGCCGCTTCAAGCTCCACTGATAGGTGACCTTTTTCCAACTTGACTTGTGTTTGTTTTGGCCCCTTGATTAGAATTACCCACTTTCCTTTCTTCTAACAGTCAAACATCTTGGTTTCACACGCTGCCCAATGTGTTCACTTTTCAGATGACCTTGATTCCATATCCTAGAGATGGCCTGGACTGGAGCCCATTGATTCTAGCTCCTGAAGTTCTGCAGTCTGGCTCATCTTGTAAACAGACAAACCCAGCCTCCTCATTGTAGACTCCACAGAGGCATTTATTCTACTCTCATGGGTTTTTTTGTTTTGTTTTGTTTGCTGTCTTCCTTTTTTAGAATGCTATACTTCTTTTCTCCAAAGCCAAATCGATCCTTCAAATCCCAGTTCAAGTCCCACTTCAAGAATATTCCAGTTTTTAACTATTGCATCATCTCTGAACAATATAATAGCTCGAATCTGCACTACATAATGTTTTATCCTTCTCTACTCTCTCAACTCCAGGTATATAATGCAATTGTTGCTAATAACTTAGTAGTTACAAAACATATATTTAATTCAAGTATTAATTATATTTTAATACTCAGGAGACTTCAAAATAGGAAAGTTATGTGAGATTTTTATAAAACAAATTACAAAGTGTTGGACTATAAATTTAACCCCAAATAGATAGAGATAGATACACAGATAGATAGAGCATTTACATGATGCCAACGATGTAGAAAAATTTAGTCACAAGCTTTCAATCATCTTCCAACATAAATTTTATTCTGCTATTGAGGTATTTCTAGAGAATCTATACTAAGAAGACCTAAAGACATATTGGAAAGAGTCAAATGTAAATCCTATAATGTAAGAAGGTTTTGGATGAACTGCTTTAGGTTATATTCTCTCTCAAGAGGTTACAATGCTTGTTCTAATATACGATGGTGTCAATTTCTTACACATTTTTAAAAGTATCAAAGTATTTAGCATCATATGCCCAAACTTGCAACAAACTATATTTAGTATTTTTTATTAAAAATATAAACTACTAAAATTTTTTTGATGGATTAACAGAAAGGAACTATGTTTACAACACAAAATAAAAGGAGATAGCCAGACCAGATCTCTAGAATATATCTAGTTTTATAATTGTAAAATTCCAGGAAATACCAAATCATGCTGACAACAGATTTTTGAGATAAATTTCATTTCAATCATGTATAGACTGTATGCAAAGAAATGGACCTGGATAATGTTTTTTGATGGTTTCTAACTTTATTCCAAGTCTACAGTCTTTGTGAGCAGAAGACTAAATTGAATCTGGGCTCCACCAAGAAAAAAATAGGTGACCTAGGACAAGTCATTTAACTTCTTTAGTTTGTTTATTCACTTATACAGATAACAATAATAAATGCCCTGTCTTCCTCAAGATCATATAATAAAAACTGTGTTAAAAACTTACATCAAAATGTTTTACAAGTAATGTTTTACATAACATTTAATTATTATGAGTAAATAGATTAGTAATAGTAAATGAGTTCAAGATTATATTCATTCAAATGGAAATAGCTAAATTTGTGCATGAATATCAGATGACTTCTTCCTGCCTTGGTTACTAATGAATGGCCAAGCTTGTTTCCGTAAATACATGGGCACTAGGATGTTTTTTTAAAAATACATGTGGCTCAAGATTAGACTTCTTCCGCTTTGTGGTATCACATGTCTGACCACAGCAACTATTTTAAATCATGGTCTATGATTTTTAATGACATCTAACTCCACACAAAGGGTCATCATTCTTAACTAGACGTGTGTGACGTGCTTAACTGCAATGTGTTTTTTTGTGTGTGTCCTTGTTTTTCTCTTTATCATTTTAACATGCATTTCTATAATACTTTGGTAATCTTGAAAACACTCAGGTCACCTTACAACATCAAGACAGGCATAGACCACTGTTTCCTTAAGTCTATAAAGTTTTGTTATAAAAATTGGCTAGCCAACTGTTCTTGGCCTAACATTAATCTAATAAAAGTGTTTCCAAAGAAAGTTTATGGAGTGAAAATTAATTGCTATTATTTTCAACTTTAGTTGAATTTTTAAATAAAAACACTAAAAACTGAACAATAGTATCTAATACTACTATTGAAATTCCATAGCTGGGCATGGCAGTGCATGCCTATAATCCCGGCTACTCAGGATGCTGAGGCAGAAGGACTACTTGTGGCCAGGAGTTCGAGATTAGCCTCAGCAATATAGAAAGACCCTATCTTACATGAAATACAGAAAACAGGAAAGAGAGAGAGACAGATGGAAGGAGGAAGGGAGGGACGGTGAGAAAGACAGAAAGAGAGAGGAGGGAGGAAGGGGGAGGAAGGGGGAAAGAGAGAGAGAGAAAGAGAAAGAAAAAGAAAGAAAGAAAGCAAAAGAAAGAGAAAGAAAGAGGAAAGAAAGAAAGAAAGAAAGAAAGAAAAGAAAGAAAGAAAGAAAGAAAGAAAGAAAAGAAAGAAAGAAAGAAAGAAAGAAAGAAAGAAAGAAAGAAAGAAAGAAAGAAAGAAAGAAAGAAAGAAAGAAAGAAAGAAAGAAAAAGAAAGAGAAAGAAACAGAGAGAAAGAAAGAGAAAGAAAGGAAGGAAGGAGGGTGGGAGGGAGAGAGGGAATATTTGGTCAGCTGTATTGTTTAAAAAATCATTACTATTGTGGGTTTACGAGTTTTTGACAGTGTTTTAGGGTATACAAGGGGTTTAACACATGCAGTGTGTTGTCCCAGATAGAGCATCTACTTGAAGACAAACAGGGCTACATTCAAATCCTGTGAACTTCAGCAACCTAATTATTTGTATTATCTTGGGGAAACAGATAATAATAGTAATAATAATAAAAATAGAGAGAAAGTGAGAAAAAAATAGAAATCAATATCAGCAATAAATACTAAAATAAAAATAATAGGGGTTAAAGGCATAGAGAATATGGAGATAGAGAAGGTTTACGTAAGTGTATTCAGGGAAAGCCCCTGTGACGAGACAATGCTGGAACCTGAAGGAACTGTAGAGGTGAGCTTTGTGCTTTTATGAGAAGAGCATTTCAAGGAGAATGGAAAACAAGTACAAAGTGCCCGACCTACCAAATGGGATTTATCGCAGGGGAGGACTATTACAAAACAGCCAGGTAGTTCTAAGAATCCAGGTGCTGACAGCAAGCACTGGGTACTTGGCAACTTGGCAAACCTCTGGCAGAGATTCTCCACCCCATCACAATGCACGCATAGCACAGAAAGAAGAACTACATGGGGTCTCTAGACAGCTGGACTTGGGAAGCCATAGAAGGCTCCACTGCTCGAGCCATGGAAGAGCATGGAAATTGCTAGAGGACTGGACTCAAAAGGGCTTTCGTCAGAGACAAGGAATATTCAGCAATGACCCACCTGGGTCAGCAACTGAGGACTCTACAGGATCAGAGATGACCAGACCACCAGAGTAGCTCAACCACCAGAACAAGAAGGTAGTGTGGAGGGACTCCAGCATAAACAGAGGATGGCAACCCAGGACCAGGTGAAGTTATCTTACTGTCTTAATACCACAGTTATATGGAAATCCCAGAACAACCAGGTTTTAAAATTAAGTAAGAGGAGATGAGAAATTTTAATTTTTTAGATACATAGTTTAGTGAATTGAAATTCATATTTCCTCAACTGTTGAGGGCAACAATAATGCAAATATATATATGTATATACATATATAAATATATATTTATGTAAATACATATATAAATATATATTTATGCATATACATATAAATATATGTTTATATATACATATATAAATATATATTTATGTATATACATATATAAATATATATTTATGTATATACATATATAAATATATATTTATGTATATACATATATAAATATATGTATTTGTGTATACATATATAAATATATATATTTATGTATATACACACACTCACACAAATATACATTTGGCATGGAATACATACATTGCAGGCCAAGACATCCTTTTTATTCCCTACTCTTCTCTTCTGTGCTTTGTCATTAAGGCTATCTAAACTCTGGATATATCATCAATCGTGTATACACCAAATCCTGGATGTGCTAGGTAAATAATACTCTTCTGTAATTGAAGAAATAAATAACCGCTGTAAAATTACTATCAAGAAGTAGAGAGTGTCTGTCATGGGATCATAAAGCAAGGCTCTCTGAGCTGGTCTGGAAGATCAGGGAAGGCATTCTAATTTAGTTTCCTGAGTCAGGGAGCCTCACCACAAGCCCATCAGGTAGGTATTATAGGTATCATCATAGTTATTTCACAGATGAGGAAAAGGGAGATAGTGTTTGCCTCTGGGGAATGTCAGACACTGGGGCGCTCAAGGAGTGTCACGAGCTTTCTTTAGCCTTATCTGCAATAGTTTACATTTCATAAAGAAAATAGTTTTGTGTTTTATTTGTGTAATTAAAAATTCATTTTTACCTAAATTTAAATAACTCATGCTGGAAGTCACCCAGCAACTAAATGCCAACACTGGAATTTGACTCATTTCTGTCAGGCCCCAATGCTTCTAACCAAAATTCTCTAAAAAAGAAATAATAAAAATAAAACCCAAATTTCCCATAATAAGCCAATGGGTATGTACATGATAGTAAACAAATATGTATAAAGAGAGATTTGAATTCAAGGTCTGAGGTTCAGGTGATTGTAATGTAGAGAGTAGGTCTCCAACAGATCTGCTGGCATTTGCAACCTATTACTGCTGATTAGCAAGTACTCAGAGCCCTTATTTGTGTTCATCCACTGTTCTACATAAAAGTTGTGACATTCCCTGGCTACTGGTGCTACAACTTGTGTGTGCTGCTCTAAGGGATGAAGAAAAGACACAACACTTAAACAGACCCATACATAAATATCAAGAGCAGCACCTGGGTCTTTGGCATCTCTCTAATGGCAGAAATCTTCCCTGTTGTCAAACGTACACACTCTCATAACCCATACATTGCACACACCGCCACCACCACCATCTCCACCTCCACCACCACTGCCACCGCCATTTTATCCAGCTCATTATTGGCAGAAAAGAGGGAAATTTATGGATAATTTGGAAAGTAAGAAAGAGTGATAGGCCTTATTTTATCACGATGTAGGCACCAATGTTTTTCTGCTTTGGAAATGGGAAGTATATAAGTCAGGAATTCTTTGATGTTACAGCAAAAATAATGCAAGACAAAAATGTAATTAAGCATGAAAGGAATTTATGTATTAGAAGGCTATTGGATAGTTCTCATCATCCTAGGAGGTCCAGAAGTTGGAAACTTCCTCCCAAATCCTGCTGCAAAACTGTCCCACAAATTGGCGTCACCACCACCCCTGGGCACACACATTGCTGTTTTCAGGGTCAAAATCCCAGATATCAAGCGCCATCTGCTGCTACTGGATCCCATAGCACTAACGTGGGTTGTAGCTGTCACCACCTCACCACTCTTGCCGGCAGCATTCTGCAGTTCCTCTTTTTCAGGTAACTAACTTTTGATTCACATCCTGCCACAGACACATCTGATTGACAGATACTATGGCATGTGCCCCTGTCATAGCTAAAAGAAAGGCCGAAACATTTGTAATTTTTTATGTATGTAATAGAAGATGGGCTCCATATTATAAGGTAGAGGATTCTTCAAGAAGTTTCGGCACTGAGAAATCAAATTGAATGACAAACAGGAACCAAAGAATGCCATGATAGAGATGAAGAGAACCCAAAACCTCTTTTTCTGTCCTTGTTTCCTTTTCTGAAACAAGTGACTAAATACTCAAAGTCCATGGGGAATATGACAGATCCATTCTAAAAACTCACTAACACCTGCATGTTCAACCAAGAAACAGCAAGTTCACATCTTATTTGAAGAAAACAAACCTTTATATAAGGGGAAGCATAGTATCACAAACTGGCGTACAGGAGTAAATAGGTGCCTGATTTGCTTCCAGTTAGCCAAGCCCAATAATGTCCTTCAAGCCTACAGAACTATGGCCTCTGATGTTCCTCCTCCACCCTGAAACAGAACCAATAGCAGCTGATCTTGTGTCTACCGCAACCCTCTCTTTCGTGATGAAGCAACATGCAAGTGGAATCCCAAGACAGACAAATGTTGTCATTAGTTAACATTGATTAAACTTAGTGTTTGTGTTGCTAAAATCCTCAGTACTATAATCATTTCTTATTCATGGGCTATGATAATAACTATGTGAAATCTATTTCTGATTAATCTTCCCACCTAGTCCTTAAATATAGAATATTAATATATTCAATACAAATATAAAAATAACATTTGATTTTATATTTATTTAAATATATTTTTTCATCCCTAGTATATGTATTAAATATACTAATATAGAGCTATGTATCTAGATCTATAAAAGAGTCAATAGTTCAGCAAAAATTTTGCTATTAACTTTTCAAGGAAATTACATACTGGCTTTTTTTTTTTTTATGTGAAAACCTACCTCAAAAAAAAAAAAAAAAAGAAAAACCAGAAAGTGATTTGTTTAGAATAATTCCATGTGAGCCATGACCTATGTTCACTGCTGTTACACATCAAATGGCTGAAATGTAGTTGAGTCCTAAGAAATAGCATTAAAAACAAAATTACATACTTTGTAACAATATAAATAGTATACTAACTGAGTAAATAGATTGTATGTGAAAATAGATGTAATTATATAATTATGTTACATCAAATGTTACATGCAAAATATTTGTATTCTGTTTAGTGAGCTTAGTTATTCCAAAGTAATCCTTTATTATATTTATAGATTTGATGTAAAAGTTCCTCTTCAGTCAATGCTGCCAAATATAGGTATTAAAGCTGTCACAAGTGCCTCAATACTTGTCAGTCATTTAAGAATCTCCTACAAAATGGCACCTCAACTTGAAATATTTCTACTTGTATAAATAAAACTTCAGATGTTTTTATACTCGTCTTTTAGAAGACAACGTCATCATGATTATTTACCTTTGCATAGTTTTCTGTTCTTATGTTTTATAACACTTTTTAAAAATTAGAAATACATTTTATATACTTTTGTTACATACTGGCTTTTAATTACAATGGCCTGTGATGACACCTAGTGGCTAATGGGCATATTTTGAAATCCCCAATTTGATCAATGTAAATGATTTTTAATTTTTTTTTTAATAAATACAATGACAATGTTTCCTTTTGCGGATTTTGTCACATTTTAAAAATAAAAGAAGTATATAAAATTTCTCTTTTGTGTCACAAAGAAACTGAAAACAGTTAACTGTAACTAAGAAAGACCATCTTTTAAAAATTGTACCTAAATCTTCAGATAATATATTAGCTATCAATCATAGTTAAAAAGGAAGAAAATAACATTATGTAAGTTCAAAGTGAATGTAGGCATTGTTATCAGTTAACCCTCTAAAATTATAAAAATATAAGGTGGAATCATTCAACATAAAATTCCCGGGATGGAAGTCATAGATTTATAGTCCTGATTGTGCCTCAAATTAGTTGTGTGTCCTTGAACAAATTGTACAACCTCTCTGTGCCTCAATTCTATAATTAGTAATATAGGAAGGTCAGAATTTACAGGCCTTTTGAGCAGCTTCTTATGTGAGACTCTACAAATTGCTGTCAGTCACATGGCCTTCCTCATCTAGGCACCTGTTCCTAACAACACAACAGAATATTAAATGCTCCATTCTGAACTCAAGGTTTAATATATATCAGCTTTTCTGGCACATATATTTTCTTTTGGATCATAAATTCATAATATATACTTAATATTTAATTCATTTATAGTCTCAATCTTGAAATGTTTGGTAATTTTATTAACTATTGAACAAAATGATATTAATTTTGAATGTTTCCTCAAGTTGCTTCACTAAAATGAAAAAGGAACCACTAGCATCTTTCCTTAATATTTAATAAGCATATCTTTTTCACTTTATTCTAGAAATTTATAATTTTGCATAATTCTATTAAGTCTTCTCACAGACTTCCACTGTCTACATCTGAAGAGCTCTAGTCCTGATAGTTTGAACATTTGAACTTATTTTACAGTTATCCCTCCTTCTCCACACTAGGCACCCCCAACACACACACACACACCCACACGCACCCACACACACACACACACGCCCATTTTTACCATCTTTTTCTTACCATCTTTCTCTTTTATTTTAGTTTTCATTTTTTAAAAAAAGTTGATTATTAAATATTTCAAGCATAGAGAAAATTTTAAGTCAATATGTAAAACACCCATGGATCTATCACTTATTTTTGTAATCTTAACATTTTGTCATATTTTGTTCAGTAAAAAAAAATGGAATACTGCACAGACAATTAAGATCCTGTATACCCATCTCCTGCTTCCATCTCTATCAGAAATCACTATCTATATTTGGAGTTTATAATCCACCTGCATGTCTTTATATTTTTATTACATATAACCAGGAGCAATACATGTATGGGTTTACGTTTTAAAACATTGTATAAATGTTTATATAAGTATATATTCTTCTGC